GGGGGAGTGCGTGTGGGAGGTGGGTAACGAGCCTGTCTGTGTTTTTAATAGTAGTGGGGTTTTGATCCGCTTGGGAGTTGTGTGCTAAGAATAGAAATGTGCGGAAGATGCTGGGTTTGGCTGCTCCGCGGATGCTGTCGCTGCCGGCGGTGGCGGCTCGGGCTGCAAGTAAACAAACCAGCTTCTTCCTCGTCCATCTCCTCCTCCTGCGCATCGGTCCGCAACAGCCATGATGCTGGCGGGGCCCTTCGGGGCCCAAAGTTGCAGTCTGGACGCCCAGGCGGGGGTCACGCCTTGTTTGGGATTTCCCGGGAACCTAGAGTTAAGCTGGAGATACCGAATCTCTTTGGGGCCTGCTTTTTCTAGGATCAATATTGACTGTTTATCTTCTGAAAGCAGATAAAATGCTTACCCATAAGTCAGCTAGAATGCTCGCATTTCACCCTGAAAATAATGTTAGGACAATAAAACTCATTTCGCCAGTATAGTATTTTGGTTGAATGAACAATGGTTGTCAATTGATATTTGACAAATAGAAATTCAACGATGAAGCCTATGGGTCGATATTAATTTCTCGTACTAATGAAATGATTTTTTACACTTTTGTGCTGTATTTAATTATCTTGAGGCTAAAGGCATAAAATAATGTGTCAAATCATTAGACATTACTCCATGTTTGGTAAAACTTCGTCACATTAAATCTTTTTAGTGGAATTATAAATTACTAGACAAGCACTGTCTTAATTTTGGGTAGAAACTTATTTGTTGTATTAGGTTATGTAGTCACTTAAGAAACAGTTGTAAAAGCCAAAGATGGATTGACCCAATAAAGATGGTTTAGGAAAAGATCAGTCCTTAGAATTTGAGTGTCTTTTGCAAAATATATATAAATGAGTACAAATGTTCCAGGAGGTAGTGGCCCGAAATGTGAAAATACTTTTATTAAAGTATCTTTTCCTTAAATTTTTAGTTGTCCAAGTTATATGGCTGGATACACAGTTATATGTGAGATTTATAAAGACTTTTTTTTCTTTTGTAGATACACATGCTTGATTGTATTTGAGGATTTGCTTTTTGCTTTTCTTATTGGGGTTGGCCTCAAAATATCTGACTTCTACTTCTAATTTTAAAGTGAAGGAGAACTTATATGAATGAGACAACACTGCAGTTTATATGGAAGTAGGTAGGATTTTAGTTTTCAGTTATAATTTTGTACTGTTATTGCAGTGTGTTTTTTTTACAGAATTTAAAATTTAGTCAGAAATTTTAATGAAACTATGATTCGAATCCATTTTGTCTCATGCGTAGTCTTTCCATAATGATTAGTGAATTTTTTTCCAGCCCCAAGTTAATTTTTAGTTCAGTAATCTTACCACTGATTCTTAGGTTTAAGTTGTGTATGTCAGGGTGAAGGTTCTGCTTTGAATTGTGTGTAATTTTATAGCTGTAAAGTATTTTTAAGATAAAGTTGCATTTAGCAAATATTATAATGAACTGTGTGTTAGGGGCTGGTTTGGGTATAAACATTTAATATTTACATTTCATTCAGAAGATTACTATCACTAGAAAGAAGAGGTTTCAGAATCACTGCAAACTTAAGCATTGATTAAACTTATGGGACATGATTTACTTGGTATAGTGGTGCAAAGTAGGAAGTTAGGATTTTTAAAACTCTAGCTTTTGATTTAAACATATGAAAATTTCCAACTATTTGGGCGTCTTTAAAAAGAGGAACCAGTTCTATAAATTGTGTGGAAGTTTAACTTTTACTTAAACTTCACATATTTTTGTGAAACTATGACTAGCTGGGCTTTGCTTTGTTACGCCATTTGCATCAAGATTTTGACCTTGGGATGATAAGGCAGTTAATGGTATGTTAATTGGATAGTTACCATAATTTGACTGACTCTTGTCTGTATATGCGTGATTAAATTTGATGTGTCAAAATGTGAAATTTAAAACCATTTTAAAGTTAAACAACAAAACCCAGGAACAAGAGACTCCTTTTCATTTTGTTTTGTATTGTAATTTGACTTGCATTTTAAAATTAACATAAGTTAGTAACGCACATAACTTGGTGGAAGACTCCTGTTAAAATATTTAAATAACTTAAAATTGTTCATTAGCTCCAGATTTAGCTCAGCTTGTGCATCAGAGTTCTAAATCCTGGCATCATACGTCTGATCTTAACAGGTGTTTTGTATTATTTTTTTATATGGGGAGCTCCCATTGAGTTTCCAGTTAACGCTAGTCAATGTCTAGCGAGCACTTGTCGTGCACCAGGTACTGTTACATGTTCTTTATGTGTATCAGTACACTTTATCTTCGCAAAACCCCTGCTACACTTTTGAAAGTGATTTTTTTGTGAGAACAACTTATTAAGGCATAAAAATTCACTGCTAAACTTTTCTAATTCTAAAACGCTTTTATCTTTTAGTATTTTCTCTCAAATTGTTTGTGTCTGATCTTGAGATTTCACTGTCACAGTGCCAAATTTGGACAATATAATACAGTAAGTTTCATAGAATCATGTTGTAAGGATACTGGGGATTCAATCCAGGGGCACCTTGCCATTGAACTACATCCCCCGTCCTTTTTATTTTTGGATAAAGTTTTTGCTAAATTGTCCAGTTTGGGCTCAAACTTGTGTTCCTCCTGCCTCAGCCACTCTAGTGGGGATTTACAGGCATGCTTCACCATGCCCAGCTGTTAAAATTCTTTTTCATTTCAGTTGCTTCAAATGCCAAATTAAATGCTTCAACTGCTTATACATTTTATTGTAGCTTTGTAGTCTTTCATCACATAAGATACATATTTACTTCTGCCATGTAATCTTCAAATACTAGCCTTGACTTATAGATGTAGTTTTCAATTTCCTTTTCAGTGCTGTACTTATGTGTTAGCTCTTGCAGATATTTCACATTTCTAAGTGGGTATATTTTGCTAATATTCTTAGGGGGAAATGAAAATACTTATTTACTAGATGAAAACAAGATGTTCAAATAAGAATTCTTCTCATTACTCATATTAAGAAAGTAAGCCTCTTATTTGAGAGGCTGGGGGATGAGGGGCAAGTAAGTAGTGTTTGCCAGTAGTAGAGTTTAGCCTAGAGTTTGTCTGAGTTGAATCACTGCTTGACATTTTATCTTCCCAACTAACTCTTGAGGACAGTAACTGTGTTTAATCATGATACTTTCACCTGTGATGCCAGCTCTGTATGAAGTGGATACTCAGTAGGGTTAAACTCGAGTCATAAATACTAGCTGTGAAGAGCTATAAGCTGTAGTTAACTAATGCTGCACTTCATGGCCAAGGACACTGAGACACAGAATTCAAGCATCACTCTGGGTGGTGCAGAGCTGGGAACAGAGACACAGGTTTCTTGGTCTGTCCAGGGTTCTTTCTCATGTACCCTTGTGATGAACTTTGTTGCAGGATTCTAGACCTACTTGTTAGCTCTCAGTTTAACTTAGGGAGAAGTCTGTCACCTAATTCTTCCATTTGATGTATGATAGGTCAACTGTATTTATGTGTATGATAGATGTTTTCATTTTACCTATTGAGGTTGCCGAAGCAGAATTGAGAAGGGTTTTGTATGTATATTGGAAATACGTGGCCAGCTACAATCACAATTCTTCTAGTAGCAGTCCTCAACCTGTCCATATTACAGGTGCTTTCACATAGGCACAAGCAACATCTTGTAAGAGAAAAGGAGGGGATAATTTATCAACAGCTTGTTCAGTGGTTTAGGTGAAACAGGAGTTTGATAAGCATTTTCCTAGTTGTTTAAACTTAGAATATTAAAAATACCACCTAGCATAAGCTGCTTTTTTGCTTTTTAAGAATGGACATGTTGGTTGAAATGATTCTCAAATGCCCTAAATGGGGAAAAGGGGAAATGCTTTGTTTTTGTAGATGTACTTTAAAGTTTATGAATTTGGTTTTGGTTTTTAAGAATTGGCAGCTTGAAAGAACTTATATTTTGTCTGAGAGCTAGATATTTATTTGTTCTTAAATAGGGTAACAACTCTTACAAGGGAGAGTACCTTAGGGTTAAGTACAAGACAAGTTGTCTTGAATTTTCTTTGTTTCAGTTATGTTTTCTTTCCTTTGAATCCTTTCAAAAGTTTGACAGGTTTGTATATTTATTGAGCCATACATTAGTTTCCTCTCTTTGAAAATCAGAAAATCCCATAGAATTACATTGCAGATACCCTTGACTAGTAATTCAGAGTAGCAGTATTCCATTGTATTTGAATATTATTCTTATTAACTCAGTTTGGCTAGCATATATAAAATACACAAAAAACTTTGTGGGCTGGGGATTTGGCTCAGTGGTGCCTGTCCCTGCCTTACAAGGGCAAGGTCCTGAGTTTGATTGCTGGTACAAAAAAACAACAAAAAACAAAAAACAACAGCTTTCATGCAGAACTTTATAATACACAGTATTATAGTGTAAATTACTCTTTAAAGAAAGTTACTGAGTTGTATTCTGATTTTTAACTTAGAAATTAACATATGGGAAGTTATTAACCTGTGAATTTTATTCTTATTTGTATGAGGAGAATTGCTGGTATCTTCTATATCAACCTACCTTTAGTCATCTGTTGTGGCACTTTAGTTATATTTTCATTTACTTTAAAAACATTTGCTTTTGGGCCGGGGATTTAGCTCAGTGGTTCGTGGCCTGCCTCGCAAGCGCAAGGACCCGAGTTCAATCCCTGGTACCAAAAAAAAAAAAACCAAAAAACAAAAAACACACACAAAAAAATGAAAGAACATTTGCTTTTTTGGATTTCAGAAGATAATTTGGTAAAACAAATTTAATTATAGGTACTTGAGGGTTCATCTCTTAATTGTCAGTTGTAGATGGTCATTCTTGTTATGTGTCACTAACTTATGTTGGTAACTGGGGAAGTAATGTCATCATTATTGGTTGGCTAGAGTTGTGGATGTGCTATGTGCTGCACAAACTGTTTCTGAGTCAGGCCAGGTCATATAAGTGAAAGCACTTTAATAGCATTATATTATAGGTTTGGAAAAGATTTTTTAAAATACTTTGTTTTTCTTACCTCCCTGTAACTTAGTGTACTTCTCTCACAGAATAGTGTGTGTGTGTGTGTGTGTGTGTGTGTGTGTGTGTGTGTGTGTAGGAGGGGAAGCAGGGGAAAGAGACCAAACAAATTTATGTATATTGTATTTATTGTCAGTGTTGTTTTTTTGAGGTAGGGTCTCCCTTTGTAGTTCATGCTGGCCCTGAATTCACTATATAGCCCCAGCTGGCCTCGAACTCAAGGCAGTCCTCCTGCCTCAGCTTCCTGGGTACTACGATTACAGGCATGCACCACCATGGCCAACTCATGTATGTTGTATTTCTGAGTGTATGATACTCTAAAACATGTTTGAAGGAATTTAACTGTTGCTTAAAAATTGCATAGTTGATTGCTGTAAGTAATCATCTCAAAAATTCTTAATAACTTTAGTATTGCTATTTATTTTGTTTGGAGTTAAAACCTGATTTCAACAAAAATTGTCCAAAAATGCTGAGAAAAAGAGGTATTTTAATGTGTTCTAGTCCTTATAATGGAAGGTCTATAGGAAAGAGTTTGATAAATAGTTAAGAACATTTATTATAATTTTATTTTCTCTCAGATACTTCATGATATTTAACTTCAGTTTTGTTTTTAAGAATAAGAATATTGCATAAGAATATTCTCTGTTGATTTAAAGTATTTGTTTGCTTAATCTATTCATTATTAGCTATCTAAAGCCTTATCTTCATTTCTTCAGTCATTCATTTATTCTGTATTTGTTGAACATCTTAAGTGTCAGGCACTGTTAAATTGCTTTATTAATTTATATTGTGATTGGATCAGAATAAAGATGTGAAATGTTTTGTATATTATAAAATGGCATTCAAATGCTGTTTTTATTGCCATCAAATTCTTTAGTCCTGGAGATATGTTTGTTATCACTGCTTTGTAAAAGTTCTAAACGGAATCTACCATCAATTTCATGTAAAATATTTTTAGGAATAAGAAAAATAGATTAGTCAACAATAGAATATTCAGTGCAGTGAGCTTAAATGAAAAACCAAATTTTGTCTAACTCACTATAGAAAACATTTCTACAGAAATTAGGACTGTAGAAGGAGGTGAAGTTTGCTGTACCCTAGAGGACAGGTGGCAGAGTTCCAGCTCATCTTGCAGACCAGTGCTTTTAGGAACATGGGAGAGTGTAGATGACTTGGTGCAAGGGTGTGCTACTGTAGGGTCTTTAAATCAGAGAGCATGGTTTGCTACTTAGAAGTCAGTAACACTGCTTTTATATAAAAAAAAAGAGCAGAAGAAAGTGTTTATTTCTAAATGATTGATCATAATATGTCCATGACATCTTTTAAATTCTTTTCAAAGAAAGTATCATTTGAGCCAGGAGCAATTTTTAAAGTTGAAAAATTACGATTATGGTAGAATTTGGTGGAAGTCCCAGATGCAAGTGGATAAAACCCATCTCTGTAATGCTTGAGTTCACTGGTGAAGTTTGTAAATTTTGTCTTAATTATTGAACACATTGTTTATTGACAGTTTAATGCTAAATACATAAGCATAAATGCTGATGACTTTTTTATTTAAAAACTAGCTTACAGAACAGTCCCTTGTAATATGAAATTACTTGATTTGGAGGAAGAGTCAGTGCCAGTAGAAAGCCCTGCACACCTGGTTGCCCGGACTTGGCTCTGCCCTACAGTGGCGGTGTGAGCTTGGGCAAGTCACCTCGTGTGTCTTGGCTTCTTTTTCTTCCACTGTTAAATGTAGGCCCCTGTATCTCCTGAAAGATAATATGATAATACAGATTCTGATAATAAACTATCAAAAAATAGCATCAGTCTTGAAAATACTTTTTTTTAGTGTTCTACAGAAGGATATTTTAATGCAAATTACTTCAATAAGAAGTATAAGGTTATTGGATATATATTTTTTGTCATTGCTAATTATTATTACATGATCTCTTCCACCTTCATAACCAAGAATAATATGATACAAATTCTCTTTTACTCAGGTTATAGTTAGAAACAGAGAATGGCTGTAGTGGATGTGTGGGGTCCCTTGCTGCAAGTACACCACAAGATAAAGTCCCCTAGAGTGCAGCTCTTCCATTGATGCCATTTTGGGCCTGTGTTCCTTAATGATTAGCCTATGCCTCTTTACGTAGTGAGTTAACACTTAGTTGTCTAGCCCTTTTATAGAACTAGTTGGCCATAATGGGTTCAAACAAATTAAAATGTTTGGATTCTTTTTTAAAGTTATTTTATGGAGACCGCTGTTTTGAAATGGTGAATGGATCTTGTATGACTGTTTCTTATGGCAGGATTCAGTTAAGATTGTGCTATAATAAGTTGTTATACTTATTTATTTTAGAACATTTAATATGTTAATGATGCTTCAAGAGGACATGGTTTATAGAATTTTCCTAAACTGACTTGACTAAAGAACTTTATTATTATTATTTTTTTTATTTCCTAGGATTCCTCTAATTTAGTATTTTGTCAGTCAAATGTATAGTAGTTTGGGAAAATAAACCCAGATTCCAATATCTGTTTTTGAGTCTGCAGCAGCAAATCCTTAAGATTATGATGCTGAGTGTTCCTGGTCTTCCTTGTAGATATTGTCTTCGGTCCCATGGCACATGAGGCAGGGGCCACACAGCCTTTGTCAGGCTATTTAACTGGGCTACTTAGTGAATGTTTAGTCTTCGCTGCTGATTGCGAAATGATTATGCTCTGTACTTAATTTGCATTGGAGAGAGACCTGTAATCTAGTTTAGAACTGGCTAGGGAGTGTAACTTTGGATTTACTGCTATGTACTATTTATGAGAATGCAAGTTCATGGAATAGTATGGTTATAGAGTCTGTCCATATATTTTTCTGGTTCTCTAAAATTTATGCCTTCCAAGAGGACTTTATAACATCCATTTGCCTGGGAATGTAGAATGTTTTTGGGAATGTAGAAATGCTTTAGCTCAATTTGTGTTAGCATTTTCCTTTTGAAGGTTGATAAGATATGATAGAAATAGTCTTGTGAAACTTGTTGCTATTAAGTAAGGTTGTTTTTGAGACTTTAATTATGGTATGAAGTATCTTACAAAAGTCCTGTGGGACAAATTTCTAATTTTTGTTGTAGGGGGCACTGTATTCTTTTTGGGTAACATCTTCCTTTAAAAAATACATTTCTGGATACTATAAATATTGGACATACTTGCTTTGTCGTCCTGAAAACTTTGTACCAAATTTATGGCTCATCTTTCACAAATATGTAGACTTTTTTCTGGCTTCCTTTTATCTTAAGGCTGTGTATTTTGGAATTAATTCATGCTCTGCAGTCAGACAGCCTGGGCTCAGATCAGGGCACTGTCACCCACTGGCAGTGTTGGAATCTGGCAGGTAGTGTCACCTCTGTGAGCCTTGGTTTCCCCATCTGTGGAAGTAGAATTAATGCTAACCTAACAGGATTGTTGTGAAGATTACTTGAGAATGATAGATGTAAGCACCAATAACAATTCTTGGCACACTTTGAATACACAGTTTTTTCCTGCTTTCATAGTCTTTTTGTTTCACTTTCTCCATGTATTTTTAAAAAGTAAATGATTTTATATTAAATACTTGAGTAATCTACCTAAAATATTTCTTGGAACAAGGCAGTAATAATACATAAATTTTTTTGACACATTGTGTTTTATATAAAATATAACAACTAAAAATATTCACAACTTGCTATAACTGTTTCTGAAATTACTGAGGTTTGAGCCACTTAACTTTCATTCTTTCCCTTCCTCTCCTCAAACATCACTGTTCAAATTTTCTATATTATTTGTATAGGTATGATGGTGGCTTTCTTGGAACATATTTTATTGCAACCTCTTAGCTTAAAAGTTTCACTATCATTTGAAATCTGTCACAAGACCAGGGAAGTACGTTCATTATGGAACTATTTAATAAATAAGCTCTCCAGTTTGAAGAACTAGACTTTTGTGTGAGGTCAGGCCAGTTGAAGACATTTACAAAGAATTAGTTGTTTGTTATTGCTATGTGAGTTGCAAAAATGGAAAAAAAAAAGAAATTCTTTCTTCAATACTTCCTTCCAGGCTGAGTCATCACTAGAGTGGGAAGGGCAGCAGCAGCAGCAGCAGCAGCAGCAGCAGCAGCAAATCCAAACCCTAAAGTTGATACCACAAAGTACCATTTCTCCAAGTTGGGGGCTCAGAGGGGAGCCATCATGAGCGATGTTACCATTGTGAAAGAAGGTTGGGTTCAGAAGAGGGGTAAGTGCTCCACAGAACTGAAAATAATACGGTTGGTAATCATGGTGTCTTGGAAGCTGATCTTTTTCTAATGCTGCTAAACTTGCTGTCTGTTAAGAGAAAAATGATAAGTTACGTGCTTGTTAAGATTTTTCTTACTACTTACAGATTTCTTTGTAATTCTTGATTTTGATCATTTATGATGTAATTATGAAGATAGATTTGACTTTGTGGTGTTGTGTGCTGTATTTTTTTCTGGTATCCATGAATTCTACAATCCACAGAGATACCTTTAGAATCATTTAATGCCTAGAAAGGGCCTGTTTTTATGCATTTAAAGACATGTAAATATATAAAATTTTCAATTAAACCAACTTGGATAATGGCGGAAGACTTAAAGTAAGTAGTAAAGCAGGAAGGGTGTACCCACCCACATAAATTCCATAATCTAAAAAAATCACATAAATTAGGTAAGTAAAATCTTGAGTTGAAAAGTCAAATGAGGACAAGAATTTTTTGTGCGTTTTATGTTTAATTTTATACTTTTCCTTATCTACTTGTATTTCCTATTTATTCATTAAATAAATGCATTATTATTTTTTTTAACTATTAAAGAACTTTAGTGTAAAGCTTGGTTTATCATCTTTGAGTTTATTGGCGTATGTGGTCAGTGTGTTTGAAATCTTCATTTAGACTAGTTAGTTACTAGGCAACCACTGTATACCCACGTGACCAGTGAGTAGGATGAGTACTCTTCTTATGCTTAGGAGTTTTTAATTTCTGTATATCTGTTTTCTGGTTAAAAGTCAAGCTTAAATATTGATCTTCATATTATTTGAATATCTGTACGTAATACTCATGCTGAAAAGCTGTTGTCAAATAATTAAATGTTATTGTGTATTATTGTGCCTTTAAATTGGTTTTATTGAGTTTTAATTTATTTACAATAAAATTAAGCAATTATGTTACACTCTGATAAGTTTTGCCAAATGTTTATAATATTGTAACAAGCTGCAGTTGTGATAAGATTTCCATCAGAAGAGAAGGTTCCTTTGTGTCCTTTTACAGTCCTGTCCTTGTCCCTCAAGCCTATTCACTAATCTGTTTTTTGTTACTGTATTTTTTTTTGTTGTACAATTTCATTTAAATGGAATCATGTAGTTTGTAGTCCTTCGTATGTGGTGTCTTTCACATAACACAATATCTTTAAGATACCATTTTGTATATATCATCGGTTCACTCAGTTTTAATGTTAAGTAATATTCCAGGGTCTGCATATATCGTTTATTCATCGGTTTAAGAGTTGGTGGACATTTGCACTGTTTCTAGATTTGGCTGTTAAGAGTAAAGCTGCTATGAACATTTGAATATATGACTTTGTATGATATGTTTCCATTTATCTTGGGTAATAACCTAGGCATGAGATTGCAAGGTCATATGGTAAGTATATATTTAACTTTATAAGAATGGATGTGTTTACCTTCATAAAAACTGCCAAATTTTTTTCAAAGTGGGTGACCATTTGTTTTAAGTTAACTTTCATGTTATTCTCATATTATAAATTTGGGAAACATTTCCAGACTTCAGTGCTGACTGGAAGGTTTTGTATTGGTACATTTTAGATACACAATACAGTTATGTTCATCACTGGGATCTTGTACCTTTACATTGTATTTCTTGGTTCTCATTTTTTCCCCATTCCCCTATCCTCCACCCCCCTTCCCTATTTACAAAGACTTTATTTACATTTTTTTCCTTTTCTCATTTTTTTCTCTTCCCTTTTTACCTTTCCCTTTACCCCTCCCATTCGTGGAAGGTTTTTGTTGTTGTTGTTGCCTATTTTTAACTTTGCCTCATGTTTATACTGCTCTTCCTACTTTGTTTTTTGTGGCTAATCACTTAAACCTTTTGAAGTTTTATTTCAGTAATCTCTAAAATCTTATTTCACAACAATCTACATTTCATGTAGATTGAACAAGATAATAGACACATATATTTTGATGGCCTAACATAAATGTAAGGTATCGCAGTGTCCACATGCTCAGTAAGGGTTCTTGAATCTGTTCAATTAATTTCTGCTTATCTGAAATACCATACTAGAAGATTAGTATTTAGTGCATGGAATACAGAAAATGAAGAATTTCGCAGTGTTTTTCATGCACTGGTCAGAGAAGGGAGATTCTGATTGTGTGTGTGTGTGTGTGTGTGTGTGTGTGTGTGCGCGTGCGTGTACATGTTTATTTTGAGCAGTAGTAGAGTACCTCGTATAGATGTAAGAATACAATAATACTCGAGTATAAAATGAAAAGTAAAAATCCTACCCTTGTTCTCTTAGTTTCTCTCTTCAGGGGTAATCATTTGAGATTTTTCTATTTTTAATTCTTCAGCTGATCATCATCCTAATTGTGTGTATAAAACACAACTTTATTTGGGCCTAATTCTCATGTAACCTAGTGTCTCTCCATTGTGAGAAATCATCAATGATTTTTTTTTTTTTTTTTTTAGCCATACTGGGGATTGAGCCTAGACCTTCCTATAGTTTGAGACAAGTTCTCACTGAGTTGCCCAGACAGGATTCAAACTCATGGTTCTCCTGCCTCAGCTTCCTTAAATGCTTCCCAGGTGTGGGCCACTGTGTCTTGCAATAGTGATTCTACTTTTCACCTTTTTTCTTTCTTTCTTTTTTTTTTTTTTTTGGTTGCCTTTATAGTTAAATATCAAGCTGTTGGACAGTCAGCTTCAGAAAACATTTAGATTTTAGCTCTAAATTTAACACTTAATAAAGGTGTACAAATTTAGCCTTCTGTACCATTTTTCCTTACCTTACCTTCCTAACTTATGTTAACTATAACATTTATTTTTATATTGCCAGAGTCTATAGTTATGGTTGTTAATTCTGGAAAGCAGAAAATAATATTATGGTTATATGAATAATCATGGTATGATGGGATGCTTGGTGAGGAAAGGGATTCCATGTATTTTCTTGGTAGTCAAGTTTTTGCCATACTTTAGTTTGGCTTCTAGTTTGGACCATGGTTGTTTTTTCCTGGATTTTCTAATTGCCATATTTTCTCTCCTGTTGGTAGAACTTTGTGGGTCTTCTTCATCTTAATAGTTATCCAGCTTTTTAATCATACTATTTATTGATATTCTCAGATGAACAGATCTATGTGATGCTCAACTAACATCATATTATTTAATTTAATTCTCTGAGAAGTTCTGTGATTTCCTAGACCTGCTTCCTTCTTTTGGGTGTGGATTTATTTTATAGTTTTGTAGAGTATCTCTTGAACTGATTTTGCAGGAGTAGTATGTGTAGGTGCTTGTCAGCATAATGTTTGAAAAATCTCTTCATTTTCTCACCTAGTAATTATATTGAGTGGGTATAGAATTCAGGTTTGAAGTTGTTTTTCTTCAGAGTTTTGAAGGGTGGATTTCACTGCCTTTCTGTGACCAGTTTTATTGATAGAGATTTGGTACTCTTACAAATTATTTCTTTGTGTATAATCTGTTTTTCTCTGGAAGCTATTTGTGTTGATATCTCTTTGTCCTTAGAATTATGAAATTTAAGGAGGTTGTATAGTCTTTTCTAAATTCATTCTATAAAAATTTGGTGGACTTAATATGAAGGCTTAGAGGTTTGCTGTCAGTTCTAGGAAATCTTTTGATTATTCTTTTATTTTCTGTCTATATTCTGTAGCTTCTAGATCAAACTACTGCTTTACAAGTTTTATTTCATTTTTCATGTCTTTTTTTTTTAACAGAAGAAAACAAGAAACTTTTATTCTGGTGAATTTTCTTGATTTTTTATTTTCCTGCCCATCACTGAAAAAATCTTTTTTAAGTATTTATATTTCTGGGTACTCATTCTAGTTCATAGTCACCTTCTTTTATAATCTTTTTAATCTTAGGATAGTCATTAGACTTGAATTTGAAGTTTTCTTTTCCTCTTTGAATAAATTTCAGTTTATTATTATTGTTATTATTATTTTTTTTTGATGATTTTTTTTCCAGGTGTCTGCTGATACCTATTTGCCTGGATAAGTATGAGAAGGAGTGGGTTAACTGATAGTGCCTTTTATTTATTTTTGTAATTTCCCCTGTATTTATGACAAGCTAGATTCATTGAATTAGGGTTTGTGATGGTGATAATTATACTCTTGAAAGTGTTATTTGAAAAACTAGGTGAAATAAAATGTTATTTTTTCCTCTTAATATTCTTAATTTATCCTATTAGAAAATTTCAGTAATAATATCTTATATTTTTCAGCATTATTATTTTGTTTTAAGTCAAATAAATTTCTCTAGTTAGCTTGTTGTTTGGCATTATTTTGGTTCAAAGAAGTTTTTCCAAAAAATGTACTTCAGACTGTATACATATCTTGGGCCAGTTCTTGTCACCTGACCTTTGCTATATTTGCTTGAAAATAAAGGCCTTTTCATAATGAGGTTGTAAGCACTAGAGTATAATGTGTGTAGAGGACTGTTTTAAAATTATTGACAGCATCAATAAAATATATTAATATAAAAAAACCTAAGAATTATTTGGAGCTAAGGACGTAGCTCGGTGTTAGATCATATTTAGTGTGCGTGAAGCCCTGGGTTCAATCTCTGGCACCAAAAACAAGCAGAAAAGTCACAGTACAGTTCTTACTTTGAATATTAATCTTTTTTCTCAAGCCTGTATTTTTTGGTCTGTTTGTTCTTTTCAGTTAATCTGATTTTACTTGTACTTTTTATGTGATTAAATTGTTTTCAGTAAAAACCTTTCTTTTTTTTTTGGTACTGGGGATCGAACTTGGGTCCTTGTGCTTGCAGGGCAGGCAGCGGAAGCACTGAGCTAAATCCCGGCTCTAAAAACCTTTCTTTAAAAGAAAATAAAAGACTTAAATGTTGATATTATGGAGGTTAATACCAGGTTATATGCTTTTTAACCTTGGTTATTAATGATATGTTAATAATTATTAGTAATTGATTGAGTAATATTGAGTAATTATTAGTAATTGATTGATTATTAGTAATGTAGTAATAGTGAAATCTTTTTATTGTTGTTTTCTGGAGCAGTTGCAGCATGTTGAGTGTTAATTGGGATAATGTAAATATAGTATTG